TGTATGATACCCATCTATGTTCTATTCGTGGCAGTGACGTTGTACACGTTGTATCATGACGATGTATAAACACATCCTCAAAAGAGCTGGTCCATCCTCGCACCCTATCTATGTATTCTAGCTGTTGAAAATTCGCGAATAGAGTAGCTCGTGCCTCCCGATCCACAGGTCCATGATGGGCATCGTCTGCCCCGCCTCCTCCACCGGTGTCGCCCACTCCCTCTCGATAGCCGCGGCGATCATCCTCGGCACGTCACCGCTACCCAGCACCTTTTGTGCCTGATACGGGCCGAACATGCTCGCACGCACCGCGGCAGACACGAGCGCCTTGACGTGGCTGAGCATGAAGACGTACGCCGTCTGGTGCAGCGTGAGGCCGACGAGGCTTGCGACTGCGCCAAAAAGAGGGGCGAGATGGGCGTGGGCTGCTGGTGGCAGGTCGTTACATGCTCCCGCTGGCGTCTTTGCGGAGGAAGAGGAAGACGATGCGGAGTTGCTGGCTCGTAACAACGCGGCGTAGGGCTTCAGAGCCTCAACAGCATGGTGCGGCAGCGAGGAGGCGAAGCTTCGTTCCCAGATGGACAGCAGGGCGCGACCCTGGGCGATAGAGGCACGACGGCCGACGGTGCAGATGATGGCGGCATCGAGGGTGTCGTCGAGAGTGGCCAGCGCAGAGGGGTCGCGGTACGCGGCAAGGACAAAGGGCAGTGTGGTCGAAGCGTAAGAGGAGATTGACTCGGGCAGGAAGACGCTGAAGGTGGCAGAGTTGCGCGGCGTATGTGCCAGATAAGATTCGAGACCGCTGCTGAAGGCGAAGGAGCCGAGTGGCAGGGCTGAATCGGAGAGTAAGAGAATGTAATGATTTGCTGAGGAGAAAGCGTCTGGTACGGTTGTGAGTCAATGACTTGAGTTGCTCGTGAGCGCTTCACTCACTGAGCGGAATTTCAGAAGGTCGATGAACGAGGGTCGTCTCAATCTTGGCCTTTTGCTGGAGCCGTTGCCTCGCGGCGGCCAGTTTGGCCTCGAGCTCTGCTATCTCATGCTGGGTATCCTCAATGAACTCATCGTGTTCTGAATCCATTGAGCAGTTGCTGGTACAGGGAGTGCCTTATCATGTCCTTGATTGGAGAAGTCATCTTTTGCCGGACTCGGACATCAGATCGAGGGTCTCCATGTAGAGGAAGCTTTCGGGTGGTGCATTAGCGGCGCGATAGCGGGCATGCCCACTAAAAACCGACCAATGTGATGCAAAGGGCCGCCGTAGACGTTCGGGGTCTGTACTCGGCGTCTGGCATCATAGATGAGCCCATCCTGACTTGACATCGACCTCGCTTCAACCACCTCAATACAAGTCAATTCAGTGTTTGAAACGACGAGAAACGTTCCTTCATTGTGTACACATCAATTTCAGCGTCATTAACACAAACCCCAACATAGTCCTCTCTTCTTGATCATCTCAAGGTCGGCGAATGGTATCCCACCACGCGCCCGGTCACTTGTCACACGACAAACCACCCAGAGCTCCAGCAACCACGCAAAATGCCTTCACACAGCCCATTGCAAACCACCGAGGCCAATGAAGCCGCATGGGAGGCTACGAGGGGCGCAGTCGCCGGTGCTGCGAGATGGGGACTCGTCGCTGCTGTCTTTGGTGGTGCCGCACAGTACTTCTCGCCGTTGTACAAGGGCATGACAATCCAGTTCAAGATGTAAGTCAACAGCCTTCCCCTGAGCCCATGGTCCAGGCGATTTAACCTCCCCAGCTACATCCAAATGTCAGGCATGGTGTTTGGTAGCATGATCGAGGCCGACTCGCGGTTACGAGAGTACGAGGCCCGCATGAGGATGCAGCGGCGCATCCTGAGAGACCGGGCAAAATGGAAGGAATTTGAGGATTCCTATGCGGAGCCAGAGCCCGAAAAGAGCGACAATTGAGGTAACAAAAGTCATGTCTAGAAAGGTCAACGATTGAGTCATTTCGAAGAGCCACATTATGGACCTGTTTTTGGAAACCTCTGTACAATATCATAACCATTGATCCCTGGATTTTGGTGTATCACTCTCAACCCCGAGGCCCAGTCCAACGCCGATTCATGCATTTCATCACATCCACTGCCTAGTTCGCCTGTATTGGCGCTCATTTGGTCGCCACCTCGAACCGCTTCGGATCCATGTTGATCTTACAAAGCCGGACCACGCACCCGCTCAGCTGTAGAAGCGTCTGTACGCCCTCCAACACCTTCATGTGCGTGAAGCCAATCTCCTTGATGAATTCGAGCTTCGAATGTTCGCTCAGCGTTGGGATCGTCTTCGTGACCTTGAACATGGTACTAATGATGTCGTGGCTTGAGTAGCCTAGGTCCCACAGCTCCCGTAGGATATCCAACGCAGAGTTAACGTTTCCCTCGTAGCAAGCCTTCAGCATCGCCTGCACCTTGACAGGATGCGGGCTGTCCACAATCTTGAAGACGTTGTCTCCGCTGACGAAGCCAAAGCCCGAAAAGGTACTCTGCAGGTTGTTGATCGCTTGTCTCATGTCTCCCTCGGCGGAGAAGACCAGTGCCGCCAGTCCGTCGTCGCTGTACTGCACACTCTCTGCCTCGATGATCTGCATGAGCCTCTTGACGACTTGCGCGTCCGTCAGTCGACCGTAGCGCAGGATCGCGCATCGCGACTGCAGCGGCTCGATGATCTTGTTGGACTGGTTGCAGGCGAAGGCGAAGCGGGTCGTGTTGGAGTAAATCTCCATCGTGCGGCGGAGAGCCTGTTGCGCGCCCGATGTCATACTGTCGGCCTCGTCAAGGATGACGAGCTTATGGCGGCCTTGGGGAAGGGTGACTTTCTTCTGAGCGAAGCCCTTTATGCGGTTGCGAACGACGTCGATGCCTGGAGCCTGCTGTTAGTGACGTGCAGAGCTTGAGGGGGGGGGGCTCAGGCGCGGCGTACCTCGCTCGTCACTGGCGTTCAGTTCCAACACGGCCTCTTTGTACGACTCTCCGAGCAGTTGCCGTGCCAGGCAGAGCACGCTCGTTGTCTTTCCGATACCAGGCATGCCCGAGATGATGACATGCGGCATGTTGCCCTCCTTCGCAATAATCTTCAATCGCTCAATCGTTTCCGTGTTGCCGACGACATCATCGAGGAATACCGGGCGATACTTTTCGACCCTGCAAGCATCGTGAGCTTCCTTCAGCTTGTTGCGGGGGGTTCTGATTCTAACTTACCAAGGGAGCTCGTATGTTGGAGCGCCATTAGCAGTTGTTGAGACTGCTGTCGTAGCGACTGATAATGACGACTCTCCCGCTTCCTCCAGCTTTTGCACGTTCTTCTGGGCCGGCATCGTGTTGTATCCGTCGGTTGTTTTCTTGGTCAGGAGGCTGCACGAGAACCCACTGAGCACTGAAGAAAGTCCGTGGCATGGTAGGCACTTAACGCGAAGGGAGGACGACGCGAAGACACGCGCACGGCGCTAGACCCTATTCGTGCAGACGCCCCACCACAGCTTCAATCCCCATCGACATGAACTTGCGGTGATGCTATGCGCTCACAGTGGACCAACACATACATCACTCACAAATCACACCAACATGTGAACCTGAATATTCGACGTCATGTCCCTTAATTCATTGAACTCCATCATGCTTTTGGCTATCTGCTTCAATCATCATCCAGGTCGACCGCACGCTTCTTCGCCTTTCCGTTCTTCGGGCCACCCTTGAAGTGCTTTTTGCTCGACATGATCTGCACGTCCTTCGGGTCCAGCCCATTCTCCAGCGCGACAATCGCTCTGGCTTTCCTGCCGCTCAGGGTCTTGGGTCCTGCTTTGCCTTGTTGAGAGTACTGGTGGCTGAAAGGCATCTTGAGATGACCTGAGCTACTGCTGCCAGGGCCGAAGAAGCCGCTATCGATTTGCTTCGACTTGGGACCCGCAGGCAACGCTACAAACTCAGAGGCCATGGTTGATTCGTCGTCTCCCGCAATGCTCAGGTCCTCCATCACAGGAACGAGATGGCCGCGGCGGTGCTCGGGCAGGTGCTCGTCGTCGTAGAGCTCGGAGTTGAACTCCTTGGCGTCGACCGTGTTCGGGGGAGGCTGGCAGAACAGGAGCTTGCCTGCAACGTAATCCTTGAGGATGTATCGTGCAGCTCTGGACTCGTCGGGCTGTCCAAGACCCTGCGTCTGGTATCCACGCGCCCTAGCGTACGCCCTCAAAAGCTCTGAGGCAGTGGGCTTGCCGGTACCACCCTCTTCGAGCGCCCGGGTCCTGATGGTGATGCCATACACGGCCTCGAGGAAGTGCTTGGGTATCCTGAGGGCGACGAGGCCAGCGGGGCCGGTGAACTCCCTCAACTGGTCGATGGGAAGGACACCGTTGCAAACAAGATCGGCCTTGGTGTTGGCGAAGTTGGGGAACACGAGACCTGGGCAATCGCAGAGAATAACCTTCTCGCTGAGGTGGATGGTCTGGAAATGCTTAGTCTTTCCGGGTGTTGAGGAAACAGACACCTTCTTGGCTCCGATGAGGGCGTTGATGGTGGATGACTTTCCGACGTTCGGGTAGCCGACGAGACCGACCGAGAGCTTGTGATCCGGTGCTGGTAGGAAAGGGGTCAGCGGTTCTTCTCGTCATTCGTACGCTTCGTGGCAAACTTACCGGCATCTTTCGGCGCGTGGCTCAAGAAGATGTCCTCCAACTCCTCAACCGTCAATATCCTGATATCCTCATCGTCAACTTCGACGTCTGCCTCTTCTCCAGCCTCCTCTTCCTCCTCGCTCGACTCCTCAGACTCGTCCTGCTGCTCGCTTGCCTCCCGTTGCGGGGCTTTGGAGCTTGCGTCCTGCGACTCAGCCTCGGCCTCTGCCTCCTCTGCCTCGAGAGCCTCCTTCGCCAAAAAGGCTGAGAAGAACTTGTAGGCAATACCAGTCTCCTTCAGGTATTTCGCCCAGATCTTGCGTTGCTTCACAGTCATCATGTCGGCCTTGTTGATGAGCAGCAGGTTCTCCTTCCTCTTATCGACAGCCTTGACGTAGCTGTCAAGATCGTCGGATCGGAAGAGGAGAGGGTTACGAGCATCGACAATCTGCACGATGAGATCGGACCTCTCAATGACACGCCACAGTTGCCTCCACACCTCGAGATTTCGCTCAAACGGAGTCATAAGCAAGTCGTTGTTCTCTTGGAGCTCAGCAAGGCCCCGGCGCCAGTCCAAGAAGCTCTCGCGCTCGAGGGTATCGAGCTGCTCGGGTGTCGTGGACTCGTCCCACTTCGGTCTCCTCGGCACCGTCAACTTGCCCTTGTGAGCCCGCTGCTTGCCCAAGACGTCGCGCTCCTCGGCGCCAGAAAGGAGGTAAGGGTTCTTCTGGTCAGTGTGGATGATCTTGATGTTGCTTGTCTTCTCAGCAGTGAAGTCAGTTCCGGCGAGCTCAGCCGTCGCCAGAAACTCGTCGAGAGCGCCCTGCTCAGTGACGGATCGCATCTTGACCCATGACGCCTCCTTCTTCTCATTCGTGACGTACTAGGACTCATGTGAGAATGTATTGCCGACTGAAGCGCATGGGTACTTACCTCCTCTCCAGTCGCATGGTTGATACGCGTGATGGCGGAACCCCTCTTCCGGTCCTGGCCGTTTCCTTTGCCGAAACGGTCATTCATGAGGGTGTTCCCCAGACCGAGGGTATTCTTCTTCGCTTTCGGCATCTTGAGATCGATCAAAGGTAACAGACTCAAGTAATATGACTATGGTCGATGGTGGTGAAAGGGTTGGGTTCAGCAGAGCGGTCGAGGATGAGTCGCCGTTCGTACCTGATGTTGCCCCGCTGAATAATGCGACG